CAAAATTGATAATTAAAACCTTTCATTTTCATCATCAGTAAAGTCTTCCAAAATCTTCAACTCTTTTAATTCAAGCAATCAATCCTGTTTTGTATTTTTTATTTTTTTTTCATTACAAATTTGACCGCCATAAATTTTTTTTTTGATTACAAAAATAACAGTGAAAAAAAAGTAAAAATAAAGACTGTGTGTAAATGCAGTAAGTTATTTGTGTTTATTAATTTTATAAAATTAAACCTTTTTTGATTTTTGATTTTTGATTTGTCATCTCTGATTTTGCAAAATGTCATCATCAGCATCTTGATTTTTTTTGATCATCATTTATACCTGTGTGTGTCTGTTACGTTTATTAATTATTAATTAATTAATTTTTCGGGTAAATTTCAATCATCATCCGAGGGAAAAAAGATTATTAATCCGAATCAAATTGATTTGGAAAAGCATCATCATCATCATCATAATCATCATCGTCTTTTTGAAATTTAAATTTATCATCATCATCCTGATCATCATCATTGTATTCTTGATATGAATTAATTTCAACAATCTATTTTGATTGATTTAAGGTTGTGCGTGATTGATTTTTATGTGTTTTTCTTAGTTTTTTTTGTTTCATTTTCAGAAACAAAAAAAAAGTCTTCGTAATCGCATATTCAAATTAAAAAAAAACTGTCACTTTTGTTCATCACGAAACACCTTGATGACAACAAACAACAACCACGACGACGACGACAGCATAAAATCCATTTCAAATTTCGAAAAATTCAAATTTTTTAAGATGTTTTCAATGTTGCACGCGAAAAATAATTCATTTCAGATTAAACAACAACAACAACAATAATCCGTAAATCTTTTAAACAAACAAAATCAAATAAATCAATCAATCAAATCCATTAAACAAACCACCAGTTGGATAATCCTTTTGCATCGTTTGTTTGTTTGTTAACAGCAGCCGCATCATTTTTTCAAAATTCCAAAAATCTTTTTCAACAAAAAAAGAGGAAAATTGAACAATGTGAAACGAGGGAAGAGAAATCAACTTTTCTTTTCTCAATTGAATTAAATCATTTGTTGAATGAATGAAACAAACAAACAAGCAAGCAAACAAACAAGCAACATTTGCATATTACAAATTCAAATCATTTTTTTTGACATTCAATTTTCTCCATTCATTTCTTCTTTTCTTGTCATTTTTTCGATTAATACAAATGTCAATGTTGATCATAATCATCATCATTGACAATGATCATCAACATTGAAATATTAAAAACGGAAGAAGAAGAAAATTTTCCATCTTTTCATTTTTGATTTCAATTATCATCAAATGACCGGATCGATTCCATGTCAAAACAGAAAAATTTTTGATGGAAAATTTTTTTCTGAAGTTCAAAATCTTTTCATTCATTCATTCATTTATTCGACATAAAATATTTCCATTGAATATTTGATAATGATAATTTAGCTGACCAGAAATAATAAGAAAGTTAATCCAGTGTTTTGAAATTCAATTTTTTCCCATTCATTTATTCGGGCGTCGGTTATTCGTTTTTTTTCTTCTTGATTTTCTCGTTGTTTTCGATTGATTGATTACATACACACACAGTGGAAAAAAAACACATAAAGTGAACGTAAAAAAAAGAAAAATGAAACAACAACAACAAAAAATCAATTAGTAAACATTGATTTCTTCTTCTTCATTTCAAAAACCAAAAAAATTTTCAATCAATTTTTTCCAAAAAAAAACTTGTGGCCACCGAACAACATTCTCTGTGTGAATGTTTTTTGTTTCCCAAAAAGACTATTATTAGATAAAAATTTACAGTTTTTTTGTGTTTCCATTCAGCCAGTTTTGTTTTTGTTGTTGTTTGTTATGATTTTGTCATCATTACTGAATCACTGAATCAATGATTATTTTTTTTGGTTTTTTTTAATGAACAAACACGAAAAATGGTCACCTAAAATCGAATAATGACATCGAACAACAACAATAATTTATGGTAATCATCAATCATCAATCATAATTTGCCATCAATATCGACACTAGTCTTTGATTATCATTATCATCATCAACATCAACAGCGAAAATCCAAGTAAAAAATGTCTTGTCATAATAATAATTATCAACAATCATCATCATCGATATCAATCATAAATGATGATGATTATGATGATGATCAAACAACAACAACAACAACAACAACAATGAAAAATTTTCATCATTTAAATTGTCTATTACATCATCATCATAATCATAATCATCATAAACATTATATAAAATATCATAATCATCATCATCATATCAAATGGTTAATGTTTGTCTATTATATAATACTTATAACATTGACAATAACAACAACAACAACAAGTAAGTGGCCAATATTTTCTTTTTCACCTTGTTTTTTTTTTCGCTCGTCGATGTCGATGATGCTCCAAAAATAATGAAGATGATACTGTGTGTGTAATTTGTTGTTGTTGTTATCGTTGTTATCGTTGTTGTTGTTGAGATTATCAAGGAAATAACAACAACAACAACAACAACAACAAATTGAGATGTTTGGGAGCATCATTATCATCATCATTATCCAAGTTAGGAAATAGTAATAATAATTTTACAATTTCTATTAATGGTGATTGATTCAATGGATGAAGGAATTTTGAAACAAAACGAAGAAAAATTGAATTTTCTTTTCTTTTCTTTTTTTCAAAAAAAAATTTTGCCAAACATGCCGGTCGTTGCAGTTAGTAAACGTGTTCGATTGATCTATCGATCCATCGATTTCAATACCATCGATATTTTCTTTTCAATGACGATGTTTTTCATTTTTGCTTTTCCCCCACCACCATTAATTGATAAAATTTTTTGATCAATTTTTTTTGTTTTAGTTGCGAAATTTTCAACAAATTTAATTAATATTAAAACATCATCGTCGTCGTCGTCGTAATTGAGTCAAGTTGTTCCAAATTAATTATCAATGTCATTTTTGTTGTTGTTTTTGTTGTTGCAGCAACAGAATTAACAGCGTATTTCGTCAACAACAGCAACGAACAAATTTATTGATTCGGTCAGTCAATCATCAAAATGACCCGCGAGCTGTTTTTGAACGAAAAAAATTTGAACAAAAAAATCTTGTGAAGCAGCAACAGGTGATTTGTTTTCACTGATAATAAAACTGATTTTGTTGCTGTTGTTGTTAAATTTTTTTTTAATATTATTATTTATCGCGGTAGCCATTTTACTTCCGAACATTTTTTTTTCAGTTTGGTTTGTTTGTTTTTTTCCAATAAACTTCTTTTTTTTTCGAAGGAAAATATCGCAACCAATTAGTTTCATGAAGATATTTCTAGTTGCTGTTGGTTGGTTGGTTGTCCATTCAAATTTTATTCATGTTTTGTTCATTTTGAGTTTTGCTGCAAAAAAAAGCAAAAAAACAAAAATCAAAAATATGTTCATATCACGTATTACGTACGGGATTTTCTTCATTCGAAACATTTTTTTTTGGTTTTGTCTTCATTATATGACCATTTTGTTCATTCAAAACAACAACACTATTTTATGGTGATGAGTTTTCTTTTGTTTGTTTGAATGATTTAACCATGGTTGATTATTACGTGATCATCAAATCGTGAACCATACCTGTGATGTTTAGTTTCGTAAATGTCATTTAGAAAAAAAAATTACCGGATCCGTATTTAATACAAAAGAATAAACATTATGATCATCGTCATCAGGATGATGATGAAATTCATTTTCTTTACACAAGTTTGATTGACCATTGTTCTTCCGCTATGTTTGTTTGTTTGTTGTTATTTTGCTCGTCGCTGATAATCGATAGTCGCTTTCCCAAATAACAATCGATAGTTTTTCTTCTGTTAATTAAGTCATATATCTTTTTCGGGAAAATTTTCTTTTTCCTGCTCGAAAAAATTTTCTGTAAACTTTCCTTTATTTAATAAATTTTTTTCTTTCATCTTTTTTTGGATCGTTTTCAAATCGATCCATTTCAGTTCCATTATTGCCTTTTAGCTATCTCAATTTTCATGGATTCAAACATCATCATTAGCCGCCATCATCAATGTCAATTCTATCATGGTCATAACATTGACTTTTGCTTTTGGCTTCGACATCTCTTTTTGCCAAAAATCAATTTACTTTTTCACTTTTCCATTGCCTCTCATTTGTTTGTGTGTCGGTGTGTTTGTTTAATTGAAAATTGTCGCCCAAATTTGCTTTTTTGCTTTCCAAAAAAATCAATTATGGCCAAAAATGTCAACAACAGAAAAGTAAAAGAAAAAGAAAAAAATGATCCATAATTGTCGTTACATTGGCTACGATTATCCACAATTATCAACGATTATCCACGATTATCCATCGTTTCGTTTCGATCGACAGAGAAAAATTATCAAACATCAATTATGAAAAGAAAAAAAAAAAGATTTTTGTTTACTTATTCGCTCGATTTTGCTCACCCGTGTGTGTGTAAATAGCCTGATTTAGATATTCGAAAAATCCAAAAACAAAACACCGACGGTGTGTAAATTGATGAACAACAATTTGTTTTCGATTTATAAATATCATTGCCAAAAATACCCAATCAACTATAAGTAACCAGTAACAACAACAATTTTGGCACTTTCAAAACTTTCGAAACAATCTTGATCAACAATCATTGATGATCGTTATCAACGCCATCAATGAGAACCCGGCCATCAATTTTCTTTCTTTTGTAAATGTTGTTGTCGATGATGATGAAAATTGATTTTTCTGTTTGTTTGTTTCGAACGCCAAAATCAATTAGCAAGGCTAATTATATAATCATAATCATCACGAAATGATGATTATTAAAACAAAAATTTATACACTGAAAGTATTCATTCAATGATTCCTTAATCGAATCAATCAATTTTTTTTTTGTTTATTATTGTAGATTTGAATAAATGGAAATCTCAAAGGATTATTATCATTGGAAATAATATATTTACAACATTTTTTGGAAAGTAAACAAAGGAATTGACAGTTGACTTCAAGGATGTTTTTTTTTTTGTTCTGTTCAATGAATGTTTTCGTACATTTAACGATGACATTCTTTTTTGATCGATGTAAAACGATGTTTAAATGAATAAATACCAACAGAATTATTCGAATGTTCATCATATTCAGCCCAATCCTTATCACGTAAATCAACATCATAAAATTGTTTTTGTTCGTTTTGTTGTCGATGTTGATGTGGATCAATAGTTGATTGACAAAAAAATGGCCCAACAGGTATGAATTCGATTGGATCACAACCACGACAATCAAATTCACATAATGGTTGAAATGTTGATGAATCTTCTTCTCGGTATGGTCTTATTGATTCATTTATTATCGATACATTTGATGGTCGTTGACATTGTTTACAACGAAATATTAGATTAACAAATGATTTACCACCCATTAATGGTACTTTATTATCGGCAGAAAATTTTATTAGATCCGTTTTTGCCATACAATTTTTACAACAAAAATACATATGATATTCATAATCGAATGGTATTGTTAAATTTGTAACATTTTCTAATTGTGCCGATATTTCCAATACTGTAACACGCATTTTTGGACGATGATTATTATTGCTGCAAAGGAAAAAAAACTTCAAAAACAAAACTGAAGAAAATTTCAAAGAATTTCAAAAGAATTTGTAAACATTTCATCGAATGTTTATCACATATCATTGTGAGTAACACGAGGAATTTATTCATGACGAGCAACATAAACACCGCGAGACTGTCCATAAATGTCGTTACAAAATGATTTAGCCCGAATTTTTTTCAAAAATTCAAAATTCAAAAATAATTTTCTTTTGAATAATTTGATTGAATGATTGATTGATTGATGGCCACCTTTTTTGATAACTTTATCAATTCAATTTGGAAAAAACAAACGAAATTCTAATCAACTTTTTTTTCCATTGTTTTTTCCATCGAATTGATCATCATCGAGTTTCATGATCACATCAGAAACAAAAACTGTTTTAATTTGATTTGATTTTCTTCCAATCCTCCCCAGTAATCATCAAACTTCAGTTGTTGTTGTTGCTCATTCCAGAAAGGTTTTTATGTATGCAAATTAATTCTAAATTTGAATTTTTTGTTTCAAAGAAAAAGAAACAAAAATCTGCTTGCCTGCCTGCCTGAATCAAATCATCGATCATTCGACTATTTCGACTATGATGATAATGTTGTTTTTTTTATTAACATGAAAGGTGAACATCATAAATAAAAAAAAATTTAAATTTGAAATTTAAAAATTCAAAAGAAAATTTACAACAAATTACAATCCTGATGACTATTTCGACATTGATGGTTATATGATGATGAGGATGATCCTCCTCTCTAATCTTCAACTTTTTTCCAAATCAAATCTTTTTTTTCGTTATCGATCTTACGAAGTAAAACAAACAAAAGGTATTTGTCATTTCCCAAAATTACAAGTTACCAAGGTGTGAATGTTGTTGTTTTGTGTTTTGATTTGATTGTTTTTTTAGGGATATTTTTAGCGAATCATAATTAATCTTTGGAGTCAAGATGATTGAACATTCAAGACAAAACAAACTGAGAAACTGAGAAACATCCTATAATTTCGTTATTTGTTTTTTTATTGTTGTTGTTTAAATAAAAAATCCAATTTACAATTCGATCCATCATTTACTGAAAACTATTTCGAAATCCATTTTTTTAAAATTTTGAAATTTTTTAAATTTCCCGCCATCATTCATCATCGATCATCGTTCATCATTCTAAACAAAAATCTGAAAATCCAAAAATCTACTGATTTTTTTGATTGACAAATTCAGCTTGTTTGTTGCAATTTTTCTCAAAAACAAATATGGCCACCATCATCATCAACATCATAATCGATTAATCGATTGATTGACAATCGATTATTTTTAATATGATAATCAATAATAGATTAATGAATCAATCAATATCAATCAATTAATTGATTGATTTATCAATCAATCTTTTGCTGTTTCTTCTTTCTTCATTTTGGTTTCGACTATCATTGATTCGCTCAATCAAAGATATGCGGAAATTTTTTCTTTTCCCTTCTTTTTTCGTTTTTTTCCAAATTTGTAATTTTGGGCTTTCCATCAACAGGCATCAAAAATCGAAATTAAAATATTCAAATTGCAGATTTGCATTAATCATCCAACAACAACAACAGTATTATTGACAAGGTTATCCATATTTATGGATTTTTCCCTGGACTTTTCTCTGGATTTTTTCAATTTTGTTTGATTTTGTAAACAGAAAAAAATTCATGAAAATTTGACAATTTGATAATCTTCCAATCATTCTCATTCTCATTATGAATTTTTTTTGTTGTCATTTGATTTCTTGGAAAGTTTCTCATGTCACACACACACACAGATGGGAGGGAGAAATGTCACTGAAAAAATCAAAGAAAATATTTACATAAACTTGTCATCATCATCAACATCCGCAATATCGATTATCGATTTCATTTGCAAATTGCGAATCGAAAAAACACAGAGAAAAACTTCCAAAAAACTTTTCCTACCTTCAAATTAAAACGTAAAACATAGCAGACATAAAACACACCTTTGCTTTTGCTGGATCGTAAACTTCATCATGGAAACTTTGAATATGGAAAAGCAAAAATTATCTCGTTTTGCATTTTCTTCCCCAAATAAAAATTGTTGTTTGATTTGCATATCTTCCCATTGATGAGATGTATCAGTTTTTTCGGAACGACCTATGTGTATAATGATGATGATGATAACTTTCAATCATCAAATTGATGATCAATAAATCACTTTTACTTTTGAAATTGATGAACCCATTTTGATTATAATGATAATTATGTTGATGATGATGATGATGATGTTCAGGTAGCATCATCGTCATCAACATCATCATCATCATCATCTTTTTTTTATTACTTATCATTTTTATGATCTGTCCATTTGAATTATTATTATTATTATCAGCTAGATTGTGTTTTAAAGATAATAATTTGATAATAATAATGATGATAAAATTGATGATTTTTTTTTTATTGTTTGTTGAACTTTTTCATGCTTTTTTTGTTGTAAATTTTTATAGATTTTGTAATCGAAAAATAATGATGAAAAAATCGATCAATTTTTACTTCAATTTATAATTAAAAAAAACTTTTATAAAAAACAATAACAACTTTTATATTAAATATTTTTATTAATTAGAAGTAATTAATTATAATTTTGAATTATGGAATTCATTTCTCTCTCTCTCTCTCTCTCTCTCTCTCTCTCTCTCTCTCTCTTTTTGTTTGTCTTTTTTTTCTTCTTTTTCTGTTTCTTTTTTTTT